CGGCCCGGCCACTCCCTCTCCCGCGGCTGCTCTGCTCCTCCCGTGACTCTTCGGCTCTGTTTAAGAGCCGAGCTGCCCGAAGCCCGAGCGTTTCCGGCTTCACGGTTTGCCGGGCAGCCTCCAGACCCTGCGCCCCCGGCTGGGCGCTTCCCCTCCCGGGCTCCAGCTGCGCTGGGGAAGTGCCGGCCGGGGGCGCAGGGTCTGGGGGCTGCCCAGCAAACCGTGAAGCCGGTAGCGCTCAGGCAGCCCTTTTTGCGTGGCTGGGAGGGAGGAGAGGGAATGCGGGGTTCTCAGGGGAGGGGCGGAGTTAGGGCGGGGACTTTGGGGAAGGGGTGGGGAATGGGCGGAGTTGGGGTGGGGCTGGGGTTGGGAAAGGAGTGGGGCCAGGGCCCCGTGGAGTGTCCTCTTTTTTTATTTTTTAAATATGGTAACCCTAGTTATTTACTCCTTCCAATAACACAATAACTAGGGGTCGCCAGATGAAATTAATAGGCAGCAGGTTTAAAACAAACAAAAGGAAGTATTTTTTCACACCACACACAGTTAACCTGTGGAACTCCTTGCCAGAGGATGTTGTGAAGGCCAAGACTATAACAGAGTTCAAAAAAGAACTAGATAAATTCATGGAGGATAGGTCCATCAATGGCTATTAGCTAGGATGGTGTCCCTAGCCTCTGTTTGTCAGAAGCTGGGAATGGGCAACAGGGGATGGATCACTTGATGATTACCTGTTCTGTTCATTCCCTCTGGGGCACCTGGCATTGGCCACTGTCGGAAGACAGGATACTGGGATAGACAGACCTTTGGTCTGACCCAGTATTGTCGTTCTTACGTTATGTTCTTATGTTCTCTGCACTAGGAGGGGTTTCCTTGGGCGGAGGCACCAGGTGCCTTTGTAGATGAACCCAGGACCCATACCCACACCTCAGAGCTGGGTTACACTCACAACTCCACTGTGAAGTAGGACACTGCTATTACCCCCATTTTACGATGGGAAACGGAGGCACAGAGAGACTGAGTGACTTGCCTAAGGCCACATAGGAAGTTTGTGACAGGGAACTGAAACCAGGTCTCCCAAATCCTAGGCTGGTGCCAATGTTCATCTCCTAACAAGAGCTCCCTTTCTCTGTGTAGATACACTTTTGCTTAGCCACAGATATGGGTGCATATTACAGCAGTAATTGTTGATTGAATTTTATTATCAAGCCATGTTCTGACCATGTCAATAAAGATTCCTTGAACTTGGGAGGGAATAAATCACCACGTCAGTGTGTCTGCCAGTTGTCTGTCCTTCCCTGCCCAGCTCCCTCTATGGAGCTATAAAGAAGGTTGGTAAGTCTCCCAAACAGTAAACACAGCACTGTCCTTCCCTGCCCCCCTGGCTTTCTCCAAACACACTGTTATTTGAATGTAGGGATACAGACATTTAGTTAATGATTAGGGGAGAGAACATTATCAGAGACTAACAAATGTATTAGAGCATAAACTTTCGTGGACTACAGCCCACTTCTCCACGAAAGCTTATGCTCTAATAAATTTGTTAGTCTCTAAGGTGCCACAAGTACTCCTGTTCTTTTTGCGGATACAGACTAACACGGCTGCTACTCTGAAACCTAACATTATCAGACAGGATCAGACCCTGTGTCCATCTAGCCCAGAGTCCTGTCTCAGATGCTTCAGAGCCCTGAAATATGCAGATGTGGGATAATCTGCCCCTGACAGTAGGTCTAACCCTGGTCTCTCATAGTTAGAAATTGTTTTGAGCCCTGAAGCGTCAGGTTTTGTATCATTTGATGAATGGCTACCTGGGGGCTCTGTGACACATTCTGGGTGCCAACTTGCAACATTCAAGCAGTTCAGTGCTATAATGTAATATCCCCCTTGTTTTTTTCCTGGTTCTGGGGAGTGAGGAGGGGAACACATGGCATTTGGACCCAGAGGAACTAAAAGCTCCCGAGGAGACTTCTCCATGAAACTGTGCGATTTTCTAAAAGAGAATCACCTGTTTTATCAGAGAAGAAAATAAGAATATTAAAAAGGAAATGTAAAATCTAATCCCAGATCTGCAGTGGAAAGGAAATACTCTTGTAATCAGTAACCAGTTCTACAGGAGAGCTGGGCCCTCCCCTGTTGCCCATCCTGGGGGGATAATTGGGGGTGCAAAGAATGGGTCACTACAGACAGACATGGTCCATCTCGGTGCTGCCGGCTGTTAGAGAGCTTATTCCTTCACTCTCACACTTCTCTGGTCCTTCTCGCATGAACAGAGAGCAACAATACCCGAAGTCCGAAGGTGCAAACAATTCGATGTTTATTGGGGTGAACTTCCAGCAAGCTTAAATCCAAATTCCTTTTTCCTTATTTTCGAATCCCAATTTACTTCCTGTTTGCCCCTAATTTATATAGTAATATTTTTAGCTATACCTTAACCAATCATTCTACTAAAATTTACCTAACCAATCCTAACATATTGTAACATGATTAACTAACCAATTATATTCCACCACCTTAATTAATTTACACCCAGCAAAATAAATTATACAGCAGACAGAAACAATTACAGAACCAGACAGAGACCATGCAAATAAATATACGAAACAATACAGAAGTGAGGATTTCACAACTACATCTATACAGACATAAGGGTTTTCCAGCTGTGCCTATTGATAAGTGAGTTCTTACCAGACAGAAAACTATCAAACTAAATTTCCTTTCACATGTTCCTTTCTCCGGAGGTGATAGATTGGATCACCTTCCTAACAGCCCCAGATTACCTTATTTCAATATGACTAAACAGGGCCTCAGACTGTCACAGTATGAGAAGGCCCTTCCACAGACAGACAATGATTTTGGTTCTTTCTTTTACACCTCTATAACTAGCTAAGTGATGAGAATACACCTAAGTTCTTAAAGTATAGGCCTTTGCAGACAGGCTTGACTATCTATATCCTAACACTGAGTATGTGGTTCTGAAATCTACAGCTTGAAATTTTGACTCTGCCTCTCTGGTACTTGGGACACCAGCTCTGTGACAGGGTCCTGGCACTGCACTTCAGCAGTGCCCTTTCTGCCCACAATGGGACATGTGCCAACCCAATAGGAAAAGCAGAAATTATTCCATCAGTGGCAGCCACAATAGCACCGGACCCAAAATAGCTTCCCAGAAAGAGAGAGGCAGATTAGGTTAGACTAGCCTGAAAGAGAGTGAAACTCCAGCTGACAATTGACAGGTGTCCGTCTGTGAGGAGGGATTATAAACCCCCGGAGTGAGCTCTCTAGCAGCACTCTGAGGCAGGGCATACAGCTGCACCACTTGGGAAACAACCTCATCTCTGCTTTTCTTTTTTTCAAGCACCAACAAATTATGGGGCTCAGTGATGACGAATGGCACCATGTCCTGGGCATCTGGGCGAAAGTGGAACCAGACCTCTCGGCCCATGGACAGGAAGTTATAATCAGGTAGGCATGAAACTGGTGATGGAAGTGTGAGAGAGAGCATGGCTCAAGAGCTTGGTGCACTGGACTTTATGAATAATCTGCTTTTGAGCATCCCTTAGAGCAGGGGCAGGCAAACTTTTTGGCCTGAGGGCCGCATCGGATTTCAGAAATTGTATGGAGGGCTGGTTAGGGGAGGCTGTGCCTCCCCAAACAGCCAGGCGTGGCCCAGCCCCTACCCCCTATCCGACCCCTCCTGCTTCTTGCCCCTGATAGCCCCCCAGGATTCCTGACCCATCCAACCCCACCCCTGTTCCCTGATGACCTCCCCGGGCCCCTGCCCATCCAACCCCCTCCCTGTTCCCTCGATGACCCCCCGGGCCCCTGCCCCATCCGCTCCCGGACCTCCTGCCTCTAACTTCCCCCTACCCCCATCCAACACCCCCTCTTCTTCCTGACTGCCCCCTGGGACCCCTGCCCCATCCCAATCACCCCTTCTCCCTGCTCCCTGACCTGCCCCCGGAA